TTGACAGGTTCACTATCGCTATATTATATATATATTATAGCGCAGGGTCTTAACACAAGTTTTTAGAGCCATTCACCCTTCTGGAACTCAAAGTTAATTGATGCCTCAGATGAAACAGAAACTCTTATTTGTCATACTGTGTCTTGCCTATACAACAATATATAGGATGTTACCGTTTAGGAGATCCTGGTATATAGAATGTTACTGGTAAATGAGAGTAAAGTAAAGATGACAGTGCATCCTTATGACATTACATGCTGAGAGACACCAAAGTTCACAATAATATTGTAAAGGGCAAGCAAAGATTTCCCAACATTCTCAAATAAAAACATGGAAGCATCATTACTTATAGATTCCATGTTCTTCTCAAATCTGCTTATGCAGCGCATCTTCATGTTCAACTTTACAAAGAAAAATATCTGACCACTTTGGGTTACTTTGATCCTCTACAGGATATGTTTGTTTTAAACATTATTCTGTATCTTGGAAGAGCTTAATTAGAAATACACATAAGGGAAGCTTGCTAGCCAACTATGAATTTGTATTTACCAGTGACATTTACAAAAGATACTTCAGGTTAAAATAAAAGCATTTGCCAAACTGAATAAACAAATCATTATGTTAACAAATATTTTCAGGATCTTTATATATGAAAGTCCTCTTTACTACAATCGGCTTAACTCATTCGTGATACACTCCAATCAAAGAGAGAGGATTACAAAATGCTGGAAATAATATTGTATCTTTTTCAAAAAATAACAGAGTAGTGGAGAGTTCAACATTAAAAAGAGGACATCTATATAGGGCTTTTAGTGGTTCTTTGGGTGAAAGACTAAGACCAGCTAGAGACAATGCTAATATGCTGTCTGTCTAAATCTTTCTCTTTACTCAGGATTTATGTGGATTTGAGGAAAGGTTGTTTATATAAACAATGAGTGAAAAACTTGCCCAGTCAAACAAAATGGAAATCTACACTTAGACATTTTTTGTTCTAAAGGAGAATATATTTTTGTATGCAAGACTTATGATTTGAAAGTATGAGACTGGCTGTGATAAAACTGTTTTCTAATACTTTTATCAGCTGTTGCAATCAAAATGTTTTTTATATTAAGCTCTTATTTATTCAAGGGATTTTATGAGTAGGCTATCATCAGTTTTATGGATTTTCAGTTTTTTGGGTTATTAAAAATCCTTACCAAAGAGTTTAGTATTTTCTTACTATGTTTTTATTTGTCTTTGGGAACTCCCCCAAAACTGCATGCATTTAATGTCTCCTTTTCTTTCTAGAGGGACTGGGGCCTCCCTCTTTAAGATTCTCAAACATTTGCTAAGTCAAGACATCACTTTCTCTTTCAGCCAATTAGCTATTACCTAAAATAAGTGTTTTAACATTCAGCAGTTGTTAATTGTAACATTAATATAAAATCTCTTAGTTAACTGTGATTTAAAAATAATTATGATTACTTAACTGTCTTAAGGGTAAATTTCCAATGACTCTTCAGGATATATGGATAAGCACAATTTTATTGTGGTGTGCCTACGTAGTAGAACTGATGCTGTGTGTTGTCTGCTCGATGCGTTTTGTCTGCTCACTGCTGATTTAACAGAGTTTGTTATAATCCTGTTTACCTATTCTGTTTGATACTTTTTGTCTGAAGAAATAATTTTATTGCAATGAGGGTGAAATTCAATTCACCAGTGTAATGTGGGGGAGCTAGGGAGACACAAATCTACCACTATCCAACCTGGATCCAAGACATAAATCTGTAGAAAAGAACCTCATCCCTGTCACTTGGTGACTGAACCTTTAAGAGGTGATGGGTCCAGCCCCAACCTGTGATGCACTTAGCGACACACTTAGCTCACCTCCCCAGGTGTTCGGGGGGTTTTGTTTTTTTTAAAGCAAAGCTCATGGCAAGCAGGTCATGTGGCTAAAATCAAGCCTTCTGGGGTGGCTATAAAAGCAGAAGTCTCTGGAGAGCCAAGGAGGAGAGAGAGAAAAGAGGCTCCGCAAAGCAGATTTGGACCCTGGCTATTGGAAAGCAGGGAAAGCTGGCTTGAACCACTCCGCAGTCCCATGGAGAACTGTAGAATCCTTAACAAGGAGGAAGGGTTTGCACCTGAGGGGCCAAAGGAGACTATTTTTTATAAAGGCTTAATAAATTGGACCCCAAGAATGGGAATATTACTCTAAGTACTTTGGACTGTGAACAAGTTATTTGGGGAGTGGCAAGAGGGTGACATACTACACCCTGTGAGCTGAAATGTGACCATTGCTCATTTGTACCTCTTAGAAATGTAGGTCAGTCCAATGGTCCATCCAGTTCAGTACCCTCTCTCTGACAATGATCAATACCAGATGCCTTAAAGTAAGAAGTACACCCACACAGAGGCTCTGACTTCCAAAATTCTTGGGGGTGGGATGCTCCATCTCCTCTCTGCCCCAGGCCCTGCCCCCGCTCCACCCGTTCTCCCAAGCCCCCGCCCAACCTCTTCCCACCCCGCCTCTTCCGGCCCCCCATGCTCTGTCCCCCACCTCTTCCCACCCTGTTCTGCCCCCTCCCCTGCTTCTTCCTGCTCCTCCCCCCTGTACCTCCTGCACGCTGTTGAACAGCTGATCACCGACAGGCAGGAGTCGCTGGGGGGGGGGGGAAGAGCAGGGAGAGCTGATCGTCTGGGCTGCCAGTGGGTGCTGACCACCCACTATTTTTTTTGTGTGTGTGGGTGCTCCAGCCCTGGAATACGCATGGATTCGGCACCTATGCACCCACATAATGGGCAGCTAGCAATAATCTTCCAACAGGCTTACTTTCTTCTTAATTCCAGGTGTTTAGTGGTTGATTTATGAATGGCATGAAGGTTTTTATCCCCTATACATTTTTGTCCTATCTAATGAAACTGCTGGTATTATTATTAACCATTGTCTCCTCTTTGAATTCTATTAACAAGCCTTGGAACAATGGGGAAGTTCCAGAGGGCTGGGAAAAAGCTAATTGTGCCAATATTTTAAAAGGATAAATGGAATAACCTGAGAAACTTTAGAACAGAGAGCCTGACACGGCGCCTGGACAACAACATGGAAAAGTTGATGGGGAATGCAATCAGTAGAGAATTAAAAGATGCCAATAATTAATGCCAATCAACATGATTTTATGGAAAATAGGTTTTTGTCAAACTTTATATTGGTTTTTTTTTTTTTTTTTTTTGGAATCACAAGTTTGGCTGACATAATATACTTAGCCCCCATGACATTCTGATTTTAAAAAACAAAACAGAAACTCACTATACAACAGGTTTCAGCGTAGCAGCAGTGTTAGTCTGTATCCACAAAAAGAACAGGAGTACTTGTGGCACCTTAGAGACTAACATATTTATTAGAGCATAAGCTTTCGTGGACTACAGCCCACTTCTTCGGTG